GAGGAGGAGGAGGGGGAGGAAGAGGAGGAGGAAGAGGAGGAGGAGGAGAAGGAGGCTCCAGCAGCTAAAAATACCTACAAACTCTATAATGTCATTCTCTACATGTGCACACAGCTATGATAAAGATAGTGATGATGGTCAATAATAATGATCTCTGTCATTAACAGGGCAACCACAGGATGCCTGTTAGAGTACTAATGGCTTTCCATAGAGAATGAAAATACACACACACACACACACACATAAAATTTAGATTGGGGACACTGAGATTCTAAGACCTTACATAAAGTACCCAAGGGGTGATAAAGAGAGCTGGGATTTGAACCCAGGCAGCCTGATTCACCGCTAGTGAATGGCCTCTCTCTAATCTCACTAAGCCCTCACCACCCCATCCCCCACTGGCTGCCCTTTACAGACTCCCACATCCCTCTGAGATTGCCCTGGATTCTGGTTTTAACTTACTTTTAGCTGGATACAAAGCAGAAGTCAGCAGAGTGGATCAGTGTGTAGAACAAACCCATCCAGAATGCTGAAGCCAACTTCTCCATTGGCACCCAGTGCACATTGCAGAGAAGAAGGTGAAAGGCATCATATTCCCTGAGCACAAATAACATGCCTATCCCGGAGCCCTTGACCTGAATGAATTTACAACATCTGCACAAAAGTCTAGAAAGTTAAGGGATATTATTCTCAATTTACAGATGCAAATACGGAGGCTCCAGGAGACAGGGGACTTGTCCCAAGATCATACAACTAGGAATTCACACAGTTGGGATTTAAACTCAGACCTAAGAGGCTCCTAAGGGGGCAGTAAAAATGAGAGTTGCAGGCAGGCAGCTAAACTGAAGGAGCTCATAGCCCAAGTTTGTAGGAGAGGAGAACTTGTTCCAGAAAAAGGGGTTGCATCTCTCTAGGGCCAACTTCCTAATCAACTGGAACTCTGGGAAAATCCTGTCCCCTAGCCTGGGCCTGGCTAGCACCCCCCTGCCCACTTGCTTATGGCTCTTCCAAGAATCCCCAGCGCTGTCACTCATCTCCTGCTGTGGGAAACCTGAGCTTTCCTGCACCTGCCCAGCCAGGAGCCCAGGGTCACAGGGCCTGGGGGAGGAGTAACCTGAGCTCTAAGACCTAAGTCTGGGCTCCTTTTTCCTACCTTGGAGTCAGACTAGGGCAAACACTGCACTAAGGTTATTCATTTATCCCACAGTTAAGTTCTTGCTGTGTGGTGTGATAAGCACAGGAAAAACAAACACTAGTAATAGGGTAGAGCTGGTCTCTGAAGATACTTTAGACTTCCTTATGGTTATATTCTGCCCTCTTACTATTGCCAAGCTTTTCTGAGTAAGCTTCTTTAAAAAATTTTTTTTAAATCCTTTTCATTTTGAAATAGCTTTAGACTCATAAGAAGTTGCAGAAAGAGTGGAGTCTCGTGTACCTTTACCCAGATTCCCTGGTAATAACGTCTGACATCACAGTGCCTTTTCAAAACGAGGAACTTGACATGAGCACCAGAGCATTTACTAAACTACACACTTTGTTTAGATTCCCCAAGTTTTTGTGCGCATTAATTTTTGTCATTGTCGTTGTTGTGTACTCTGAAATGTCATCACATGTAGAGATTAGCATAATCATCATCACACTCTAGATAATCATTCTACCAAAGAAACCCTCCCACTGTATTCCTACATAGCCACTTCCCCTTTGTACCCCTTGACACCCACACTGTCCCCAACCTTCTAATCCTTGGCAAACACTAACCTGTTCTCCATCTTTACAATTTGGTCATCTCAAAATATTTTATAAACAAAATCACAATACATAACTTTTTGAGATTTGTTTTTCATTCAGCATAATCCCCCCAGGGATCCATTCCAATTACTGGATGTATTAATAGTTCCTTCCGCAGTGTGGCCAAGTAGTAGCTGTTTATCCATTCATCTGATGAAGGATAGTTGGGTTGTTTTGGTTCAGCCTGTTCCAAAGAAAGTGGTTACAAACATTCATGTATAGATTTGTGTATGAATGGACACTTTCATTTCTCTAGTACAAATGTTCAGGAATCAGTTGCTGGTCTTATGGCAAGCACATGTTTAACTTTATAAGTAACTGGTCTTTTCCAGAATTGCTGTGCCATTTTGCATTCTCACTAGCAATATATGAGATACATTGTGGTTGCTTCACATCCTTGCCAGTATTTAGCATGCTAATATTTGTCAATCATACCCACAGCTAGGTAGTTATACTTTGCTGTAGCTTTACTTTGATTTTCTCTAATGGCCAAAGATGTTGACCCTCTTTTCATGTGCTTTTGGCCATCCATACATCCTATTCTGTGAAATGTCTGCTCATATATTTTGCCATTGTTTAATTGGATTTTTTAAATCAATGACTTTTAAGCTTCTTTTGAATATGCTGCACCCAAGTGCTTTGTTTTTTGTATTTTGCAAAATTTTGTCAGAGTACATAGCTATCTTTTCTGGTTCTTTCACAAGACTAAAGTTTCCAATTTTGATAAAGTAACAACTTTTTTCTTTTATGGATCATCCTTTTGAAGTTACATATAAGAACACTTAACCTAATTCTAGTTCCTGAGGATTTATCCTGTTTTCCTGAAAACATTTTGTAGGTTTGTTCTACATTTATACTTATGATGCGCTGTGAGTCAATGTGTGTATGCAGTATGAGACCTGGTTTGAGGTTCACATTTTTGTCTATGGGTGACCAGTTGCTTTTGGAAAAAAATAGGCTGAGCATACTTGTGTGGGTCTTCTTTTGTGTTCTTGATTCTGTTCCTTTATTCTACAAGGGGTGATTGAAATACACAGTGACTGACCAAATTTAAAACATTTATTACAGTAAAAGATAAATTACCATTCATCCCCCCCAATACCCCTTCTCACTTCAAACACCCATATCCCATCATTTTTGGCACTTTCTGAAGCTGTTCTAGAAGCCCTCATTCATGAGCGCCTTTATGAATTATGATTAAAAAAAAAAGTACAGTGAATGCTGCTGCGAATGCTATCCAGGGGAAAGCAGACTCGTAAAACAGTATGATGTGTCTTTATCCAACTTATTCATCAGATCTGGTACCATGCAGCTTCTGGATCTTCTCCAGAGCTAAAATGATCATAAGGACTAAACATTTTTAATTGGCTCAGGCCATCCAGGTAACCAGGACAGCACAACTAAAGACTAAAGTCCTCACAAAGGTGGACTTCTAGAACTGCTTCACAAAGTAGAAAGAATGATGGGATAAGTATGTTCAAAGCAAGGGGATTTATTATGAAGGGGATTAACAACAATGCATCTTTCAATGTAATACTATAATGATTTTTTAAAAGCGTAAGCATTTTCCATATTCTCTGATCATACTGCATATGTGCCCATCTCTCTGCCTGTAACAGTCTCAATTATTTTAAACCTTCAGTAAGCCTTAATAGTAAAGGAAGCCTATGACCTCATTCTTTTCAATACTGTTTTAGCTATTTTAATTCCTTTACTTTTCTATGTAAATTTTAGAGTTATTTTGTTATTTACAAAAACATTGCTGAGCTTCTTACAGAACTTGTGTTAAATCTATAAATGAGTTTGTGAAGAACTGACATTTTTACTATGTTGAGTCTTCCACTTCATGAACATAGTACACCCCTCTATTTATTTTGATTATCTTTGATTTGTAGTATCACATCTATGGCTTCTGAATATGTTTTGTCGCGTTTATGCCTCAGTGATTTTTTTGAGTGATTGTAAATGACATTGCATTTTTCACTTTGGACCCAGTTGTTCCTTGTATGCTGACTTTGTACCCTATGACCTTGCTATACTTATCTGTCACTTCAAGGAGTTGTTTTTATTATTTTTAGATTCCTTATTCTTTTCCAGGAATCCTCAACTCTATTACCCAACCTCACATATGTCTGTCTCCTGCTCCTAAGAATCTAAGCCTCCTGCCCCTGCCCAACCACAGGACCCAGGGAGGGGTAGCAAGGAACATGGCAACCTACACCCAAGCTCCTTTTTCCTACCTGCAGTCAGACTAGGACGGACATTGCAAAATAGCTATTCATTTATTCCCCCCAGTAAATGATGAGATCTTTCTGTGTGCAGGGTACTTTGTTAAGCATTGGGAAAACAAAGTAAACAAGAGAGAAGAGGCCATCAAGATAGACTTCATCCTTTTTATGACACTATGCTGGTCTACAGTTATTTTGAAACTTTTCTGATCAAGCATTCCATAAGGTTTTAAATTTAAATAACCATTGATGTATTTTGTGTATTTATTTACATTAAGGATGAACTAGGGGGCAAGGATTTAGCTCAGTGGTGCTATGCCTGCCTCACAAGCACAAGGTTGTGAGTTTTATCCCTGGCATAAGAAAAAGTAAAGACATGAACTATTCTATTACTATATTATGAACATTACAGAAAAGCAAAAGCTGTATAGCATAGTGATTAATTCCATTTACTTGGGAATCAGTCTACCTGCATTCAAATCTCAGCTCCACTGGGTGACTTTGGAGAAATTCCTTTTCTGTTTTGGTTCCCTCATCTATAAAAAGGGATAGTAAGAGTGCTTATATCATAACATTGTTATGAAAATTAAATATAAAACAGGCCTTGACTCTCAGCAAATTTGTTATTCTTGTTAAAACTTATAAAGTAAAAATAAAATATGAAATAAAGAAACAAAGATAGACGTTCTCCACTTGCTGTTTGTTCTGCATCTCAGAAGGTGCTGTATTTTACTTAACCATTCCTCTTTTGGTGAACATTTAGGCTGTTCCATTTTCACTATCATGAAGAATGAGGCAACGACCATTCTTCTTCATGACTTCTTAGATAGATGCACCAACTTGTACTAAAGTATCTTCTGAGAAGTGAAACTGCTGGCTCATGAGAAATGCTCGTTTTTAATTTTAATAGCTACCACCCAAGCCACCCTTCACAGTGACCATATCACTTTACATTGTCTGGGCTTTTTAATTTCTCCACATCTACAGCAACACCTGATACTGTCAGACTTCAGGCTACCTCTCCCTGGTGAAGAGAAAGGACAAGTAGAAAATGTGGTATCCAAAGGAGATGTTACCTTTATCCTCAATGTTGCAATTTGTTTGCAAAATGAATTCTTGATGACTTATGTAATGAAAAATGAATCGTAAGCTTAAATTTAATGGGAATTTAATGGGAACACTATATACTGAGCAAATACGCAAACAAACATTATGATGGCAAATGGTAAGCAGGGCTTGAATGGCCACTAACAGGATGGATGCAGCTGTGTGGTTGCTAACGATCAGGTGGATGATGGTGACAACAGCAGCTGCTACTATGTGCCAGGCACAGCTCTAAGCACTTAGCATGTGTAACCTCATTGCTCCTTGTCACAACTCCATGCAGCAGACTTACTCCTTCTATTTTACAGATGAAGAAATTAAAGTGCAGAGCTTAAAAATGTGTCCAGGGGACTAGCAGTTACCACCATGAACTGAAGGACTACTCAGTTCCAGCTCCTGATGCCAAGTGGAAACAGGATCCAGCATTATCAGATTAGATTTTCCAAGAGAAGACAAAAGACCAGATTTTCATGCGAAGTCCTAATTTGTGAATGTAATTGATGAATGTATTTCTTTTTAAGAGAATAATATGAGGCCCAGAAGATGTATCTATGAGTCAGATATGGGACTGTATTGGCTCTTGAAGTAATGAGGTTGGGGAGAATCAACAATGAAACTAAAATAATAGAGGATGATGATGATGAATGTGAGTGTTTAACATATGCCAAGAACTGTTACAAATGCCATACTGAATTAATGCATGTAAACTTTGCCACCACCCTAAAAGTTTAGGTATTATCATTCTCTTTTATAACTGGGGAAACTGAGGCAGAGAGAGAGAGAGAGAGAGAGAGAGAGCGAGCCAGGTTTGTGTAGCTAGGAAGGGTGTTGTTAGGCTTTACAACAATCTTGTTCCCAAGCCTGTGTTCCTCATTACTAAAACTCCTTAAGGAAAGACCTCTGGAGCCAAGCCTGGTAGTGCACACCTATAATCCCAGCTCTTGGGAGGGTGAGGCAGGGGGATGATTGCCATGAGTTGGAGGCCAACCTGGGCTACATAGTGAGTGCAAGGCCAGCTGAGGGCCTCTCTCAAAAAACGAAACCAAACCAGAAAAACAAAAACAAAAACAAACCAAACCAACCAAACCAAAAAAATCCCCTCTGGATTCTACTCCATACTTGGGAACAGAGTTCTGATAGTAGGGATGGAGGGAGGAGGCTTCAGAAAGCACATAGAGTACCAAAATTGTATACAAATTTTATGTGGCTATAAAAGTGAGTTTTCCTAGGAAAGGAAGTACATAACTTTCCCAAAGAGATTCTCAAAGGGATTAGAGACCCCACAGAGGTAAAGAACCATGGAGGCCTTGGAGTAACTTTGGGACAGAGAAGTCAGCCTCATGGATGAATAAGTAGCAGCTGGATGGGCTAAAGAGAATGAGCTGTTGGTGATGGATGTGGACCCTCAGGAATATAATCAAATAAAGGGAAGAAAGTTAGGGGGAGTGGGTTAAGGGAAGATGTCTTAGGACAAGTAAGATAAAGGACACATAGAGATAGAGGGAATATTTATCTGAAGAAGATGGGGGAGAGAATTTTGAGGAATTTATGGTTCTCAGAGACCAAAGACATTTAGAAAAGGGCCATGCCTTAGCTCCTAGACTGAAGATCCAAAAAAGTAGCCAGCCAAACTAAAGCATGATTTAACAAAAGGGAGAGTGTTTTCTTCCCTCTTCTCTATCTCTCCCAGGAGTAAAGCTGGAGAGCTTTTCCTACCTGCCCACTTCTGTCCTACTTTCTTGTGAGGCTCCTGCCAACAGCCCACTCAGCTGCAGAACTAGGGCCGACGTGTCCTCATGGACTACTAGTCCTCCTCCTAGCCATCCTCCTGCTAGCTGTCCACCAGCTTCTACTTCTACCCAGGACTGGGCAACACTGGCTACCTCACCACATGCTCCTAGCTTCCGGCACACAGGCCCTTCTCCTGCTGAAATTATCACTGATCCCTACGATCTCAACCATTTCTTCCAGCTAAGAATGCTGAGATGACGGCTTGTTAGCACAGAAATCTTCTGAAGCATTCCCTGACATCAGTCTAGGATGGCTGGATCCACACAACCCATTGCCATACTCCACGGCTGCATGTTGAGTATCTGCTGTGCCAAGCAATAGACAGGGGACTGGGGCAGACAGTGTCAAACAGATCAGGCTTGTTGCCCTGTCCTCATGGAATTTGAAGACCAGTGGGGGAGACATGTTTTAAAATACATAAATGATGATAACTAGATTAATTTAAAAGGCAAGATACTGTGAGCATATAATACAGGTAAGAGTCATCACTGACTTTCCTAAAGGTTGAGTTTTTGAGGTGAGATGTGAAGAATAAATCAAATTACCTAGGTAAAAACATAGAAGGGTGGTAGTTGGGGGGTGAAGGGCAGTTTGAATCTTGTAATGGGAAAGATGCCACCACCGCCCTGACCTCAGAGAGGAGCAGACCAGTGAGGAACCATATGTCTTCAGAGCTGTAGGCAGCAGGGCTTATGAGAACACAGAAGTAGCATCTAACTGTGAGTGGGGTCTTGGGGGTTAGTTAGGTTAGTGTAGTGGCAACATCAGGGGAATTAGGGGGCCTAGTGCTCTTCGTGTGATTCTGATTGCACCTCTTGTACATGGTTCCTAGATTTGGGTAATTTTCCAATTTAAGTCTTTCTCATCCTAAAAACAGAATCAAGAAACTCACCTCCTCAGATTCCCTTGCACCTGGGAGACAGGTGTTGCTCCTGGCCATGCAGCCTTCAGGCTCACTGTGGTTCTGCTGGAGATGAGTCACCTAACCATTTCCCTTTCTAAATGGATTCTGTTGTATGTAACCAAGAGTCCTGACAAACACAAAAGAGATGAATAAGTGAACAGAGGAAAAAGAAAGGCAGGAAGGGAATTTAGGTATAGGGATAGCCAGAACATAATATAGCTCAGGATACAAAATTTTCTCAAAGTCTGAGAAGGAAATATCTTCAGCATGGAGGGAAAACAAACCCTAGGTGGCTTTGGTATTCTTGGACATTACAGGGAGTTTGTGCTGCTTCATAGAGATCAGAGGAAATATATAGATATGGCTGTAGGAAGAGACACAGAGTATCTTGCTCAGAAAGTTAGGCTATTACCTGTATCTTCTCAGACTCTTTGGTCATCTTCCATAGCCATGCATGAAAGAATGCACTTTTTTTTTTAAAGGCAGGGATTGAACTCAGGGCATTTGCAAGAAACTACACTCAACACTTTTTAAATTTTGAGACAGGGTTTTTCTCAGTCACTAAGTTGCCCAGGCTGGATTCAAATTTGAAAACCTCCTACCTCAGCCTTCCAGAAAGCGGAGATTACAAGTGTGCACTACTATGTCCAGCAAAAAACACACTCTTGTTACAAATGGTGCATGAAAGACCAACCTGGACAGAGACTTTTTGTGAGAAAAAATGCTGGATTTATTCTGTCTGGATCCAGGCTGAAAAGAGGAATATCAGTAGCTAGCTGGGAGAGAAACTAAGTTTTTATAAGGGTTGGGGGGGGTTATAATCCTAAGGAATCTGAAGTGGAATGTTTAAGATTGAGGGTCCAAGGACATTCAGCACAGGGAGATTTGTGTATCCCGTCCTAAATTTTCTTTATGGCCATCTGTTCTGTTTATTGAGAGTAGTATGGGCCTTTTCCTATTGTTTGTGAAGAACATCAGGTTTTCTGCAAAGGTCTCATTCAGGCCATGAATGAGAAGCCCGAGGCCATGGGCCGTCACCTGTTAATGGAATGGCCTCGGTCACGAAGTCACTTCACATATTACGCAGCACCAGCGAAGACCTTTTTGCAAACTGTAAAGTGTTGAATAAATGTGATAGATAGTTCTTACCATCTTCGTGGGACCAATATAGATCCAATCAATTAATGGGTTCAGATGGGGCTTATGGCCATGGGTTGGAACCAGTTAAGATCAAGAAAGAAACAACTATTCATCAAGAGGTTAAGAATAATGTAAACATTCAGAACTCCATGGTTGTGACACAAAATTTATGCCACAGTGGCTTCAGAAGAAAAGAAAACCCACAATTTAAATCACAAATAACCAAAAGTCTCAGTAATTGAAGCACAGTTGGATTCAAGGACTGAAGTAGCAAAAGCACAGGGGTCTCTATGTCTTGTTCTGTTTTGTAGGGGGGGGGCACTGTCAAACTCTCTCTTCTTGCTGCTAAGAGGGCTGCAGTGGCTCCAGCCCTGTATCAAGCTGGGCTTTTACACTATTTGAAAGGAATGTGGTTGCATCTAAGGAATTCTTATAAAAGCTCCTTGGCCCCAGTGAAATGACACACTCACACCTGAACCACTTGCTCGTTTCTAAGGATAAATCATGATCTAATAGGCCAATTCTGAGTCACATATCCACATCTAGAACCAATGAGCACATCAGACACCTGGACAGAGGTGGGACAGAATCCTTTACACATTCTTTTTTTTTTCCTAAGACAGGGCCTTGCTATATCGTTCAGGCTGGACTTGAATTCACTATGTAGCCCAGGCTGGCTTCAAACTCATGGAGATCCTCTTGCCTCAGCCTCCCTTGAGTGTTGGGGTTACAGGTGTGCTCCACCACGCCTGGCTCTTTACACATAGTTTTTCAAAAATGAGGTGGAGAAGGCAAAAACAAATGTCTGCCATAGATAGTTATTGACTGAGGTTACTGACTAATAGTTATTTCAATCCTTTGAAGATTTTCAGTGGGACCTGCTTAGAAAAAATATGCTTAGTGGGCTGGGGATGTAGCTTAGTGGCATGGGACCTACCTGGGAAGTACAAGGTCCTGAGTTTGATTCTTGGGACTGTGGGACTGCATAACTTTGTAATCTTAAGTAAGTTCCTAGTCTCAACTGTAATTAATGTAAATTAACAGGTGAACATTTAGTAGTTCTGGGTAAATAGATAAAGATTGTTTCACTCCTTGTCTGCCCGGAAGGAATGTCTTGAAAAACCTTGGGACATTCTGTAAGCATCTTGAGTATAGACCCCCTGCCCTGCCTATCCCCTAATAAAAAGGATCTCAGCCCCTGAGCTGGGGCCTCTCAGAGCTACGTGGCTTCAGGAGTGCCATCTGGCCAGACTAATAAAGGTCTGCTTTCCAACTAGTCCGGTGTGTTCCTTCCTGGGTGATTCTTGCTGCTTGGCAAGCTCCTGGAGCAATCGCTGAGCTATAGGGCCCAGCATCGTGAAGGCCTTTTGGCTGCTCACTCTCTGCGGAGTGGAAGTGAGACTTTAGGTCTTACAGTACCAGAAAACAAAACAAACAAACAAGGAAACCAATATCATAATTAAAACTACCCAAAGTTGTAAATTCCACATCATTTTTCTTCCAACTGGAAGAATCTTTATCCCAGGGGCTGCTAAGAGCTCTTGATCACTAGGGTGACCTGGTCACTGTTCTCTGAATAGAACTTTTATGTGTTGTGACTCTTCTAACTTTTCACAGAGCTCCACATCTATTCCTCCATTTTATCTAAATTTAACAACGACTCTGTGGGTCAGAGCAGTCAAGTCATACAGCCAAGTCAGGTTTCCTTCTTCCCAGCTTATAAACAGAGCAGTGGGTCTACTCACTCTGATCCTGAGGTGCTAACAAGGGATAATCTGGGAAATCAGGAGAGGGCAGAAGCAGGAGAAAGGCATTTAACCAGAAAAAATTCTACTGGTAGAAGTAAACCTCCCTGTCTTGGTCTCTGTACGTATATGGCCAAACACTAGCAGAGACCTAGTGAAAAAGCAGACCATTCCCTATGTTCACCAGTGCTAACAAAGGTAAGCACAGAGCCCGCTGGGAGAGCCCAGTGGTTTTGATGTCAATTGCAGGCCCAAATTTTGAGGATGGAGGACCAAGGCTGCAGATATCTTTAAAGAACGCATGATTGCTGCGTTAATTATTAACTTGCTGCATTATTAGCTGACCAGCTAGGCATGAGCCCCTCAACATGGATTCACTCCTTGGGGAGCCCCTGGACCAGTGGCTTCAGATTCTTCTTAGGGTGTGTGCAAAGAACTTGGTAAATGTTAGTGAATGCCATTCGCCAAAAATGCACAATTTGTCTCCAGTTTCAGGCTTTGGCTATGAGTACAGCTCAGGTATGTCCTCCTGGTATCCTAAGGGGCTACCCACATCCCGCCTCATGTTGTTTCCTGTCCCTGTGGGTCTTTTTCTGAGGAACAGGCATCCTCAAAATACAGCTTCAGGGAAAGGAGGAAGGGGAAGACATCAAGAGCTGGGGATTAAATTATCTCGGGAAGAGAGGAAAACAAAGCTCTTTGTGCTGAATTGCCATTTATAAGGTACTGGCTAAAGAGAACTATAAGGGTATATTCCCACACACAAAAGTCCTCTGACCTCACTCTCTAGGATCAACGCCATGCTGACCCAAAACACCTTTTAGCCAGGCACGGTGGTGCATGCCTGTAATCCCAGAACTTTTAGAGGCTGAGGGTGGAGGATGGAAAGTTTGAGCCCAGCCTGGGCAATTTAATGACGTAGCGAGACCCTGTCTCAAAATATAAAAATAAAGAAATAAACAAACAAATAAATAAACACATTTTAAAAATGAATGAATGGATGGATGGATTGGTGATGCTACTCAGTGTGAAGGTTTGGTCCCCGGGGCTGGGGGAAAAAGAGTTGTCTTTTATTTTACCTTCACTGTGACCACTGTTCTTTAAAGCAAAATATTTACACTTAAATTTCTTTTCTTTCTTTCTTTTTTTGGTACTGGAGATTGAACTCAGGACCTTGCACTTATGAGGCAGGTACCGTGCCGCTGAGCTAAATCTCTGGCTCCACTTAAATTTCTTTTAAGCTTATACCATTACCATACATATAGAGCCACAAATATTATTTGAAAAAATGAAACACTCAGTAAACAAAACAATATTATGAAATCCTAGCCAGCTCTGGTAATTATCCTTCAGTTTGAGCCTGGAAACACACTTTCTATTTTAAGAAGGGTGAGTGGAGGGCTTGGGATTTATTTAGGTCAGTGGTTCCGCCACCTGCCTCATAAGCACAAGGACCTGAGTTCCATTCCTGGTACAAAAAAAGAAAAAGAAAGGAAGTTAGAACAGCACATCAAATTATTTGTGCCAGGGATTTAGCTCGGTCGTGCCGCTGTCTGCTTGTATGTGCAAGGTCCAGATTTCAATCCCTGGTACCAGAAAATAAATAAATAAATAAAAAGCAGGGTGGAAGGGGTAGCGTGATAGAAAAAGAAAGAGATGCTAGAAACATTAACATCAAATGGAGACTTCTGATATCATCAGAAGGCCTCCAATGACGGCAAAGACATGACTTTCTCACCAAATGGCTCGCTCTTTGCTCTTCCTTTATTCTCCACCCTAGTTGGGAAACCGTGATTTACTTAACAAATATTTATTGAGTTGCCTACTAAGTGATGATGTTCCCTTGGGATATTATCATGGTAGAAACAGACAACTAAATGAAAACTAAAAATAGTTTCGTATGGGATTGAGTACTATTTTAAAAAATCCAACAAGGGATTACAATACGCAGTTGGTAAGTTGAAAGGAGGCATGCGGATGGAATTCACATGCTGGTAGTAAGATCAGAGAGCAGTTTGGTCTTGAATGAGTAAGACTGGAGTTTTCAATAGAAAAGTCATGTTCGGGATCAGATTCTTAAGGAGTGGGAAAGTGGTTAGCGGCTGTAACTTGATATCCTAGGCATTATCTGAAGGACACTACAGAGACCTGCTCTCTGCCCTTGATTCGATCAGAAAGCAAAGCAGATGTTGTCTTAATAGTTTTCCAGTCCAGTGGCCAAGAGAAAACAAAATATGTCATA